CCCGTAATTGTGACTTCATACCCAGAAGCTTAGCTACTCCTAGTAATAGAGCCGGATCCGAAACGCGGTATTGAAACCATGTCATGTACCTCGCCTTCATTCGTAAGCACATAATTTACATTATCAACGATATCACTTCGCAAACCGTTTTGTATGAGATGAGATGAGGAATAATGTATTGATAATTTTTGAAAATAGTAAAAGACGAAATTTATTTAACCAGCTTTTGGGATTGCAAGTAACTGAGCTCTTCGTACAGGTAGTTTTGTCAGAAACTCACAGATATGTACATATGTCTATATCTGTAGATGATTAAAATTATTAAAAATCAAAACAACTTTTTATCTTAATGAGGTTTTCGAATATTCGGTCTCTACAGTAGTGGAATTTTACAGTCCGATGAAATTTGTGAAGCGAGCCGCTTATCGATGAAAGAATCAGATAAGAATTGTGTATTAATTATACTTTCGGCAGTTTGAGGTAGGTTCAATAACTGAGCAATTTTTTTAATGGTACATAAGAACTTGAAATCTCAAAAAGAATTAAAGATAAACAGTTCAGATATAAAATCATATTTTCTTTATTGCAAACGGAATCGATACAAATAACAAACATTTGTGAGAAAAAAAACTCCATACAGGCTTTTTAATCAAAATTATTCCAAATTCTGTTTGGTTTGATTGATCCATGAAAGCAATGATACGACATCGGTAAAAACTGCTGCTTTTCCATTGTTACCACAACCACCCCAAGAAGTCAAACCAACCAACTTATCGTTAGAAACTACGGGACTGCCGTAACGTGGTACACAGGAATCATTATTTTTCAACAAGCCGCAAACCATTGTGTTGAAAATTTCATCCGCGCTCCAACCATACTCATCAGATGCGCATACCTTAGTACTCAAGAGGCTTATCGGCACACTAAGCAAGTCACTGCTTGCATTCAAAGAGTAGACTACGGCGCTGGCACCATTTGCTGGCTGTGCATTGGCCAACTGAATGTAATCAGCCTGAACGGGTTCAGCTAACTTCAATAAACCTACGTTATTTTCCATGGTGACGAAGTCGAATTTAGGATCGAAACTGTGTGCCGCAATTGGTATTTGCTGAACGCCATTAACTGTTACAACCAACTGTGCGGGATCGTAGAAAGCGGTGGTTGTGGTTGTGCGGTGGTCAAAACAAAATTCTCAGCAATTAAGGCACCATAGCCGACTACATTGCCATCGGTTCCTGTCACTGAAACGACATAAGACTTTGACTGAATGGCGGAGGCGTATGTGCTGGCAGCAATCACTAGCAATAAACTGTACACAAATAGATTAGCCATTTTAAGAAATTGATTTAATGTTTCTTCGTTTGTTTTGCTTAATGCGAAACTCTGAACTATATTATGTTTTAATTTTTCTGCGCTTTTATACCTTCTACAATGATCAGCTACTACTATTATCTGTAATGGAAATCCTTATCTATCAAAGAGCTGGACGTCAACAGCAAATAATCAAAACGGAAATTGAATTATTGAAACTGGTATGACATATTTATAATAGCCACTTCGTAACCGCTGAAGCGACTTTCGGCCGATCTCCTACAATATGTGATTTTGCGTCTTAAAGTTTTTCGAACAAAAGGAGGGAGATACAGTTTATACTAAGCCGCCTCCGAACGGCTGGTTGTTTTTTTATGAGGAACCTTTGTTTCATGTCACAAATGCACTCTGACGGGTTGGTATTCCCTGCCGAGGGGCGGCCGCAATAACAAAATTTAACTTAATTGTTTCCTTAAATAAATTTTCTGTTACATATGGCTGTTGGTTGCACAGAAAGTTGAACCCGGGACTTTCGAATGGTAGAACGCAATGCTGACCACTCGGCTACTGTGGCCGCCGATAGAAGAGTACCGCCAATAATTGGACAAATGTTAGTGTTAGGTTTGGCCCTATAAATTTGATATAATATTCCCGATTAACAAATATTAATTATTTCAGGGCAGACCATAGCTTCAATATACGAGAGGTAACAGACAGATTCGCAACCTAAAATAGTTAGAGATTACCCACCATCTCGTTACTGATAATGCTAATTTCGAGACTCATCATTTGTATGAATAGCACAACCATTTTATTAGAGCAGTAAATTCCCAGAATTTGGACCACTGCGCTGTCATTAAATTCCTTGTTAAAAGGAAAGTATTTTTTTTAAGATGTTAACGGTTTTTCGGGACTCTGTCCCTTCAAATACGATGACAAAAATAATAGTTTGGCTCCTTCGGGACGCTCAGTGGCAGTCGGGACCCAACAAAATTTGCGGCAGATAGCAGAAGGCTTACAGATTAGCAAACAATGAGCTGAAGAGATCTTGTATGAACATTTAAAAAAAAAATAAGTACGCATTGGGTAACATGAACGCCGCCCGGTGGTTCAAATTTGGAAAGTCGTCGTCAAAGGTTATCGCTACCAGGGGGAGAAAGATCTTCAGCTGTGGTTCCAATTTAAATTAATCGTAAGGAAATTTTTTAATATAATCATGTGCATCTATTTTCTATATTGTTATATAATTGAACAAATATGTTATTATCTAATTTGCTATTAGATTCCATTAAGGCTAATATTCCATTTATTTTAATATTTGCACATATGTCGCAAGCCATGGCTTGATGTCAACTAAATTTGTCGTTCAAAAACTTCAATATTTTAGTTTAATCAAATATTTGTACAGGTTAGGTATGCCAAAGCAGGCATCGTTAACAAGCTCGAGCAGATTTCATTATGCAACAATAATTCATTAAATTTTCCACTATTTACCTGAACAAACACGAGTGAATGGCAAACATTCTTTTTCATGCGACAAGAGAAAACCAATTGGGCAAAGAGTCAGACCGCGATTTTTGGTCGAGCTGCTCCTATAATTTATGGTATACGCCTCGATGACATTCAACAAATGGAGGGACCTATAGTTTATTCTAAACCACCTATCAAAGGCCAATGGACTTTTATGAGGAGTTTTTTTTATTCCATGTCAGAAATACATTGGGAAGGGTTAACATTTCCCACCGTGGACGACTTTTAGAAAACTTAATCCAATTAGTTTTAGATGTTGGTTGAACCAGGTCTCGAACCCTGGATTTTCGAATGCCAATATGCAATACTAATAACTAGTCTAATGCTGCATGTATAAATAAATAAATAATAATAAAGACGAGGAGTGGAGCTCTGAATTTTCTTGTTGATACCAATAAAATATTTCGATGTTGGAAGTTTAAGATCCCTATTTTATAGGGAAAGGGATTAGTTTCCCTAAAGAATGCTCAATATTATCTGCCGCCAGAGCCACGAGTGTCTGCTGACGTTAAGATAGTATTGAGGGGTCGATTCTTTTCTGGAATTAAAAGCCGATTGTCCAATTAATGCTAAGCTACCAATCCCGCTTGTAGCAGAAAACAGCGGAAAATTGCTCGTTTAATGCGGTGCTTTACCTGCAAGTGACTGTTCGAATGAATTCAGTATTTTACAATGTTAATGCTTAATGCCTAGATATCCAAAGAAATGAGTAAAATTAGAACATAAAATAATGGTTTACAGTTAGGACAGCTTAGGTATTGACATCATTGGCGACAATTAGGTATTAGAACATTAACCATCTCCATAAAGTACAGTCGTGACTTAAATAAAAATATACGATAAAATACGAGTGGAAAATAAGTGATCATAAATTAATATATGAAAAAAATGGAAATAACATCGAATGTATGTTTGTCTATTATACTATATAAACGTATATAATTATCTGCGCCGTTATAATTAGTATTTACAAAACAACTGAAATTTTCTCAATGTTCCTTGTTCAAAATTCCTTGCTCCTTCCTTGTGAAGTTATTGATCTAAACTCTGGATATATTTTAACTAATAATAGTAGCTTCTAGGAAATAGTGCGATTGCTAAATTGGCTGAAAATATAAACGAGATAACGCTCAACTTTTGGAATTTTCCATTAAATTTTCTGTACGCTTAAAAACCAATTTGATTGTACAAAAATGGCTTCGGTTTAAGATTTCAACCATAAAATTATAAAATATCTAACTTTTTCTATAACTGCTGTACTGAAGATAACAAACAACTTTGAGATAAATATTTTAAAAAGAATGAAACACAAAAATAATTTTCAAACAACGGCTTTTAGTTACGTACCAGTTTGACGTTAAGGAATTGAAAAAAATTTATTTTAAAATTGTAGCAGAATATTAAGTAGGTAGGCAGGTAAAAGTCGGTCCTCCCGAGCTCAACTAGCACTTGATCCGCCAGTTTGATCACTTTTCTGTCTTCTTGCTAATTCGTTTTTTTGTTGGGCTCAAACCAGTTGGAGCTCAATGAAGTGATGAGTCACTCCAGGTATGGTACCTGTTGGATCGCAAGTGATTAATGTCTGGTTTGTTATAGAACTGGGCATTCAGAAATGTAAATGGTCTCCAAGTGGTCAATGCCTCTTTATAATATCTTCGTTCTTGTTTAGTCACACTTGGGCTTCGTTATCATGCAATTTATTAAAGAATTCCATATACTCTCTTGTTCGTTCCCGAGAAGAACTGACTAGCATATCAACCCCACTTATCTATAATTCGGATTCCTTGTCATAGGAACATTTTTGGCAGCGAAATCGTAGACAAGTTAGCAAAGTCAGAAGCCTCTGTAGATGTCTCTGTTTAAGTTTATATAACTTGTTAGTAAATATGGCATGACGACACCAGACAAACCGTATAATTGTACCTAAATGCCGTCACTTTTGCTATAGTTCATATTATTTTCAAAATTTACATACCGTTGGATCTGAAAACTGAATAAATATGATCCAGAGTTTACACAACTTGCACAATTTGAAAAGAAACTTAACATTTGCAAACATCACAGTTTTGTCAATAAATATTTATCTAACTAAATTATTTTGTTGTATAGCTGTTAATTAACTGTGGCCAGTCGTTATGAAGGTATATAAGAGAACACCCCAACCCGATAGAAGCACAGTTGACAGTTTCGCAACATACAAATCACAACTGAGATAAAAGTACAACAAAATGTTCTTCCAATATTTTTCCAGTGTTTTGCTCGCATTCGCAGTACTCGCCTCACCCGCACAAGCGTATGTCGTTACTGTACAAGGATCCGATGGAAACGTTATCTGCAATGGTGCTTTGATCAATAAGGATACAGTTGTGACTGCAGCAACTTGTTTGGCTTTCTACGATCCCGACCAATTGGTGGTTGGAGTCGAGGATCAAATCGTCAAAATTAAATCGCACACTTTTGATTCCAGTTTCGATTTCGTAACTATGGAAAATGATGTAGCTGTTCTGAAGTTGGCTCAATCTGTAGAAGGAGAATACATATCATTGGCTAGCCAAGCACCAAACACCGGCGCAAGTGGTGTTGTATCAAGCGTGAATGGCACTCTTCCAGTAAGCATCGTAGGTACAAGTGATTGTGCATCTGGCGACTATTCATGGAGTGAAGATGAAGTTTTCTCTTCCATGCTGTGCGGTTATGCTAGCGACAACAAATCTTGCGTTGGCCGTAATGGAAGTCCAGTCGTGGTTAGCAACAAACTGGTTGGTTTAGTTTCCTGGGGTGGTTGTGGCAGCAAGAGCAAACCAGCCGTTTTCACCAACATTGCAGCACTGTCATCTTGGATTTCACAAAACGAATAAGCTTGAATTTTCTTTTAAAAAATTATAAATTTGCATTAAAAAATAAAAATTTCATAAATTTGAACAGGCGTTGTTTCAATATATGCACTTGAATGGCCATCGGTGCCTGCTCTCGGCACTGCTAGCGTACTCTCCTTTCTTGCGGTGTTTGTAGTACTAACATCACATGCACTCTGCAATCAAAATGATGACTTGTGTGAAAGCACATCCTTTGAATGATTATAGGGAAAACTCAGGTTGAACAACAATAATGAGCTGGCAAAGGGTTGGTTTTTTAATACAAACTGTGGGGAAAAAGGGTCTAGCTTGAATTTGCTTGATATCTGGTTTGATGATAGCTGTGACTTAGATCAACATATAGAGTAATTTTTTCAGAGAAGCGGATCAGCAATAAAGCAGATAGTGCTGTGATGCGAGAAATATTATAACTCGAAATGTTCTGTGCACAACTTGACAGGTATTATTTTGGCATTATCACTTTCAGTTGAGCATGTTTATTATTTTTTGTCGAGGTTAGTTACGTTCGTGATACGAATAGGACCTTTCAGTGCCTTCGAATGCTGTCTAATGTAATGGATTCTTGAGGAATACTTAAATGCTGGAGCACTTTCGGCGTAACACATACCATAAAGCTTCTGGAATATACTGTTGAATAGAAGCAGGAAAAATGTTTACTTACCTTGAGCAAAAGGGGTTTAGTATTCTTGTAGGTGGGGAGCAATTTCTCAAATGAGCTTATGAATTTTCATTTTGGAAGGAACTTTAAAACTAAGTACAGGAAACTATTTAAGTTCTTAATATGTATAAAACCACAGAATAAATATTTTTGCTGAAAGCTTATTTGTTTATTCACAATGTGCAAGAACCCCAATATTGAGTCCGGATGTACCAATTGTAAAATCACCCACTAAACAAGAAATCGGAACTTATTTAAGTCATACGTCTTCATCAATAGACACATTTCCATCTTGGCTATACCAACCTGAAAATCATCAGGAAGCATCTATTCCATATCATCTGCACTATGACTATTCTCATCAATTATTATCTAATCCATATCTGCATACAAATCACATGTAAGCACTATCTGCTTTATTGCTGATCCGCTTCTCTGAAAAAATTACTCTATATGTTGATCTAAGTCACAGCTATCATCAAACCAGATATGAAGCAAATTCAAGCTAGACCCTTTTTCTATAGCTCGTGTTAAGAAAACCAACCCTTTGCCAGCTCATTATTGTCGTTCAACCTGAGTTTTCCCTATAATCATTCAAAGGATGTGCTTTCACACAAGTCATCATTTTGATTGCAGAGTGCATGTGATGTTAGTACTACAAACACCGCAAGAAAGGAGAGTACGCTAGCAGTGCCGAGAGCAGGCACCGATGGCCATTTAAGTGCATATATTGAAACAACGCCTCTTCAAATTTATGAAATTTTTATTTTTTAATGCAAATTTATAATTTTTTAAAAGAAAATTCAAGCTTATTCGTTTTGTGAAATCCAAGATGAGAGTGCTGCAATGTTGGTGAAAACGGCTGGTTTGCTCTTGCTGCCACAACCACCCCAGGAAACTAAACCAACCAGTTTGTTGCTAACCACGACTGGACTTCCATTACGGCCAACGCAAGATTTGTTGTCGCTAGCATAACCGCACAGCATGGAAGAGAAAACTTCATCTTCACTCCATGAATAGTCGCCAGATGCACAATCACTTGTACCTACGATGCTTACTGGAAGAGTGCCATTCACGCTTGATACAACACCACTTGCGCCGGTGTTTGGTGCTTGGCTAGCCAATGATATGTATTCTCCTTCTACAGATTGAGCCAACTTCAGAACAGCTACATCATTTTCCATAGTTACGAAATCGAAACTGGAATCAAAAGTGTGCGATTTAATTTTGACGATTTGATCCTCGACTCCAACCACCAATTGGTCGGGATCGTAGAAAGCCAAACAAGTTGCTGCAGTCACAACTGTATCCTTATTGATCAAAGCACCATTGCAGATAACGTTTCCATCGGATCCTTGTACAGTAACGACATACGCTTGTGCGGGTGAGGCGAGTACTGCGAATGCGAGCAAAACACTGGAAAAATATTGGAAGAACATTTTGTTGTACTTTTATCTCAGTTGTGATTTGTATGTTGCGAAACTGTCAACTGTGCTTCTATCGGGTTGGGGTGTTCTCTTATATACCTTCATAACGACTGGCCACAGTTAATTAACAGCTATACAACAAAATAATTTAGTTAGATAAATATTTATTGACAAAACTGTGATGTTTGCAAATGTTAAGTTTCTTTTCAAATTGTGCAAGTTGTGTAAACTCTGGATCATATTTATTCAGTTTTCAGATCCAACGGTATGTAAATTTTGAAAATAATATGAACTATAGCAAAAGTGACGGCATTTAGGTACAATTATACGGTTTGTCTGGTGTCGTCATGCCATATTTACTAACAAGTTATATAAACTTAAACAGAGACATCTACAGAGGCTTGTGACTTTGCTAACTTGTCTACGATTTCGCTGCCAAAAATGTTCCTATGACAAGGAATCCGAATTATAGATAAGTGGGGTTGATATGCTAGTCAGTTCTTCTTGGGAACGAACAAGAGAGTATATGGAATTCTTTAATAAATTGCATGATAACGAAGCCCAAGTGTGACTAAACAAGAACGAAGATATTATAAAGAGGCATTGACCACTTGGAGACCATTTACATTTCTGAATGCCCAGTTCTATAACAAACCAGACATTAATCACTTGCGATCCAACAGGTACCATACCTGGAGTGACTCATCACTTCATTGAGCTCCAACTGGTTTGAGCCCAACAAAAAAACGAATTAGCAAGAAGACAGAAAAGTGATCAAACTGGCGGATCAAGTGCTAGTTGAGCTCGGGAGGACCGACTTTTACCTGCCTACCTACTTAATATTCTGCTACAATTTTAAAATAAATTTTTTTCAATTCCTTAACGTCAAACTGGTACGTAACTAAAAGCCGTTGTTTGAAAATTATTTTTGTGTTTCATTCTTTTTAAAATATTTATCTCAAAGTTGTTTGTTATCTTCAGTACAGCAGTTATAGAAAAAGTTAGATATTTTATAATTTTATGGTTGAAATCTCAATACGAAGCCATTTTTGTACTATCAAATTGGTTTTCAAGCGTACAGAAAATTGAACGAAAAATTTCAAAATTTTAACGTTATCTCGGTTATATTTTCAGCCATTATATCAATCTCACTATATCCTAGAAAAACAGTTTTTTTTCACAGGAACTATTCAAAGGATAATTATCGAAATGTTAATAAATTAATATACTCTATGATGTTATATTCCCTTTTAATCAATCAGTTTTCATTGCCAAGTTATTTAATTTTCCAACCAACGAATGCTCGTTCTGATACACGCGCAATTTTCAAGCTTATATGAGTTCCGAAAAAGCCGAGCGTGACTTTGGTTTTCACAATATGACTTTTTACAACTCACGTTTTTATATTTTTTCTAATTGAGAATCGAAAACGTGGGTTGTAAAAAGTCATATAGTATATTATAAAATCAAAAGCGGGACTCAAAAAAGTTTTAACTGGTTATTCGTTGTGCACGTTCAGCTTTCTCTAAGCACATAAAACTTGATGTAAGAAATGATTATAAATAAATTAAAAAATTTGAGCTGAAAGGCCAGACTACTTCTTTGTCTTAATTATAAGATTTTATATTTTAGAACTAATTATAAAAATTAGGTTAATATAAAACAGATTTAAATTGAATCTTACATAATGTAGTACATTCACTTGTGAAAATATTTATTCTGTGACTTTACAACAATAACTAAAATAGTTTCACTTCTTTATTGGGAGACAACTACAAATTAAACTGACTAAATCCTCGGCTACCCTCTTCACCTGCTAGACGAGGGAATACCGGCTTAAATTGGCTGTGAAGGCCGATGACGTCAAATTTCCTCCTATTAACAACCCAAAGAAATTTCGAGTAACATTAGATAGCCTGGACTCCTCCACTCCGCATACGACCGTAATTGCAAAATACTCAAAGCGCTAGCCGGCTGCAGCTGGGGTAGAGACAAAGTAACCTTGCTGGCAACTTACAAATGAATTGGCCGGCCGGTCGTAAACTTTGCTGCACTGATCTGGGCACCAGGGACGAACGAGACGCAATGAAGAAGCTACAGTCTTGGTAGAGCACCGCCCTAAGGACCGCGACAGGAAACCTCCTGATGTCGCCAGAACGTCATTTGCACAGCGAAACATCTATGCTACGAGTTACATGTTCAAAAACTAGGGAAGTTTGATCCGACTGACTGCAGATCATGCAGTTGTGATATACCTAAAGGGACGTACAGTGAGCCTGTTCAAGGGATTGCGGTAAGGTCTTTAACCTCCATATCTTAACGATTTCAACCAACTTCAAAACATTAAAAAAAAAAAATATATAAAAAAAAATCAACCGAAGCCGCCTTGAACCTGATGAAGGCGGCTTAGAAAGGTGCCAATCATTAGCTGAAAAGTAATGTTCATCTGCTGTCTACTTGCAATGTCGTTAATAAATGCACATTTTTGTTTTGTTAAATTTAATGATTTTATTTAATGTCTCGAAATGTCGCTGCATGGAAGAAGTCTAACTGGAAACCGGGGTTTTTAAAGATTTTCAAGAAGAAAGAAGATGTATGAACTAACTGGATTTATTCGGCAAGGAGATTAAGCATTTTGTCCCACACTAATAACAACAATATCTCTTGATGGGCCTATTGAGTGCTTAGCAGCAAATTTGTTATACGAGTGACGAAAAATCCAAATTCAATTTATTTTTTCTTTTGCCTCAAGGGCTGCGTACTAACTGTAATAACAATAAACTTAATGGTAATAATAATTATTACTGGAGCGTCTTAAATAAGCCTCGATTATATCAGAGGCAATGCTCATTCGAAAAAGAAAATAAATAAAAAGCGCCAAATAAACAAACTTTTATTTACATTTTTCTTATCTGGTTTAAGTTGCTGCACAGAAAAACATAATAAACAATAGAAAAATTTATAAATATTTACGTTTTTACAATAAGAAATCGCAAGACCCAAGTAATTTGAAAAGGCGAGCAGCTGATGCATAAATTACAAAAGACGTATGTCAATGTATTCGGATAGTCAAATTAGAGAAGTTCAAAAAGAGAACAATCGATTTTCCCAGCGCTTATGCTCTCATTGGTATTACTGACATTGTAATAAATTTTTACACATACGAAAAAATTAGTTCCAATAAGAGTCACCATTTATTGTTTTTCGCTTCAAAATCGCCTTTAAATTTTAGAGAAATTTTCTGCACCATAGAGGGAACAAAAAAAAATATTTCGATACAAACTGTTTTCGAGGATTAGACGAGTTATAATATTTTTCCATTTTTAATATGCATTTAAAAGTTTTATTGTATTTATTACAAAATTCTATTCATTTTGTTTAATCCACGAAGCGAGTGCTGCAATGTTGGTGAAAACGGCTGGTTTGCTCTTGCTGCCACAACCACCCCAGGAAACTAAACCAACCAGTTTATAGCCCTCTACCACGGGACTTCCATTACGACCCACACAAGTTGTATTATCCTTGGCATAACCGCACAACATTGAAGTGAAAATCTCGTCTTCACTCCATGAATAGTCGCCAGAAGCACAATCACTCGTACTTACGATGCTCACTGGAATAGTGCCATTCACGCCTGATACAACAGCACTTGTACCAGTCTTTCGTTGTTTGCTGGCTAATTTCAGGAATTTTGTTTTAACTGATTGGGCCAACTTCAGAACAGCTACATCATTTTCCATTGTTACGAAATCGAAGCTAGAATCAAAAGTGTGCGATTTAATTTTGACGATTTGACCCTCGACTCCAACCACCAATTGGTCGGGATCGTAGAAAGCCAAACAAGTTGCTGCAGTCACAACTGTATTCTTATTGATCAAAGCACCATTGCAGATAACGTTTCCATCGGATCCTTGTACAGTAACGACATACGATTTTGCGGTTAAAGTAGTAGCCTGTGCGGATGAGGCGAGCACTGCGAATGCGAGCAAAATGCTGGAAATATTTTCTAGAAACATTTTGTTGTCGTTTATAAAATTAGCGAGGCTATTAACTGTGCTTTCACATTTTTAGGTGATCTCTTATATACCTACATAAGAAACAGCTCCAACTAATTATTAACTCTAGAACTTATTATAATTAAGATACATATTTTCAAACAAAACATTTTTATCGCTTTGTCGCCACGTGATTTTCTCTAGATATTTAGGTACTGTTCAAATTGTGCGAAGTCTGTTCCAAAATTTATTTTCCACACTCTACAAAAAGTATTTGATCTTGACTAACGTCACTTGTGTACAATTTATACAGTTGATCTGGTTTCACTGTGCTTATATGAATTTTCGATAGAAGAGTAAATATTTACTGTTCTCAATAAAAAATTTCAACAAAAACTAATTTTGAGGAATATCTTACAATCATATGAATTGAAACTCTTCTATCCACGTTTCACATTTTTGCACTCACAAAGAAACCAAATAAATTCAAGTGTTTATATATTATATCATCATCATATGTATATATATATATACATGTACATCATTCAGAGAAATATCCAGCGTATTTAAGACTTCTGAGGAATTCAGGAAAAAACAGAAAAAAACATCATTACGAGGCAATTTCGAATATTTAAAGTAATGCACACTTTAGGGTGGGTTAAATGTATTGCTGTACTCGAAAACTATTGGATGAGTACATAAGTTCGTGCCCGATTTCAAGTGCAAACTAAAATTGAAATTTTTTGAAGAAAGCGCTTTTATTAATCAATTATGTATTCGCCATCATGTTCGGCAATCCACTCCCAACGTTCAACCAATTTACGGATGCCTGATTCATAGAAATCGCGCGGTTTCTCGTTGAAAAAGGTGTCAAGGTGGTTTTTGACGTCTTCCACATTTTTAAATTTTTTTCCATTCAAATTGTTCTGCAGCGATCGAAACAAATGATAATCAGAAGGTGCAATGTCGGGTGAATATGGGGGATGCGGCATGATTTCCCAATTCATCTCCTTCAGTTTGGCCAGGGTCGGTTTTGCAACATGTGGCCTGGCGTTGTCATGATGGAAAAGAACTCCTTTGCGATTGGCCAAAATCGGACGTTTTTCATCAATTGCTTTCTTCAATTCGACCAATTGCTGACAATACTTGTTGGCAGTGATCGTTTCTCCAGCTGGCAAGAGCTCAAAATAGATCACGCCTCGGATATCCCACCAAATGCACAGCAGTACCTTCATCGGATGCAATCCACCTTTCGACATCGGTTCCGCCCCTTCGTGTGCCTGTTTCCATGTTCTTTTGCGTTGAACATTGTTGTACAGGATCCATTTTTCATCACCAGTCACGAGCCGATCCAAAAAAGGTTCGTTTTTGATCCGTCGAAGCAAAGAAATTGCTGTTGACATACGGTCCACTTTGTTTTTTTCACTCAACTGATGTGGCACCCATGTATCGAGCTTCAAAGTGTACCCAACCTTTTTTAAACGACGAAACGCAGTTGATTTGTTGACATTCAATTCACTGGCAACCTCTTCTGTCGAAATACGTGCGTTATTCGCAACTAAAGTCCTTAGAACATCGTCATCAAGGTCAGAAGGCCATCCACTGCGAGGTTGATCTTCGAGGTTAAAATCTCCAGAACGAAATTTCGCGAACCATTTCTTTACTGTGCGGAGTGCTGGAGCACGGTACAAATAAACTTCGCGAATATTTTTAGTAGCAGCGCCTACTGTTTTTCCTTTGCCGAATTCGTATAACATAATATGACGCATATGATCTTCTTCGTTGTCCATCTTCCATGCGTCTTTTCACTTAGCAACTCAAATCAAAATTAAGTTATTTTATGCTTGATTTACAGCTCGAACCGTCACCTTTCCAACGATATATAATATGGATATATTATATTTCTTTCACGAGCGCCACTCTCAAACGATTCGAACGGCATCCAGCGGAGTCGGGCACGAACTTATGCACTCAGCCAATATGTAAAAATTTTTAGCTAAAAACTAAAATAATTTCGAATTAAGAATGCTTATGGCCAAATCAGTCTTTCAGTTGGCATAACTTATCTGGTGAGAACGCCAACTTAATGAAAAGTTACCACCGCTTGCCGATTTCCTTACTGACATTTGTACCGCAGAAACCAGCGGCGACTGACTCAGCTGTGATTAAGGTAAGAAAACTCTAGTTTTTGTTATTGAAAGTTAAAACTTTTACGAGTATATTTGCTAGGTGTTTGAATACAAACTGTAACGAAGTTGCTTGGCTGGGGTAAGCTCAGTCTACCAGGGGTTACCAAAATAATAAATCGCTTTCTTTCCTGTTACAAGAAAATTTTATTAGTTTAAATTAGTTTCTTGATCGTACTTTATTCGTAAAGATCGCGAGGGGGCGACACCCTCTACTGGTCTTCCGTTCGGTGAGGTGGAATCCCTCTTACGAATATACTTTACTGTTGTCGTAAAAGTTGCGGAGGTGGAACTCTCTCCACTAACTTTTTTCAACTAGGTGAAAACCCCCTTGAATATAAACTAAGTACTCGTGAAGTGGAAACCCTCAGGTGTTCTACTTTTGTCGGCGGTATTCACGGACACGTATACCTATCGACCTTCTGCTGGCTAATTAAATTTTAAAACTACGATCGCTCTTTTTATATCTTTCTGCACGCAGGGAGAAAGCTATTTTATAATAACAATTATTATAATCAGCAGTTTATATGATAGTAATTCTATGGTGTATATGTATATACCTATGTATTCATAAAAAAGCATATTTGGCCCCTCAAAGTATACATTTATAAATATGGATAATTTTAACTGAGACTTTTAAAAGTAAACGTTTGTATGTATACCTTTTCTCCGACTATATTCTTTTAAATGCCTTTATATAAGATTCAATATATATATGCGTATGTATGAGAGAATTTAATTTAAATAAATTTGTAAATTCGATGTTTCTTCGCTATGTGGGTATGTATGTATATGTCTTTGTTGTAAGAATTATGGAATTTATTGTTGAAAATTCTAAACTTGTATAAAAGTAAAAGGTTTTCCAATAAGAGGTGCTATTTTTAATATCCTTGATCTACTCCAGTAGTAAAAATTAAACAATACACGCTTAAGCAATACATAGAAATTATTAGAAATTACTGTACAAATTTCATCGAAAAATCAACTTGACTTATTCAGCCCATTTCCACCCAATACACAATAATCAAAACTTTCGTATCTGTGGCTCGGAGAACCCAAGATATATTGTTAAAAAGTCTCTCCATGCTCAATGTGTAAATTTTTATGTAATTTTCGAAAATTTATGGGTTGAGCTATCGAAGGATGATTAATTATTTTTAATGGCCGAAATTGGAGAGTTTTGATATGGACAACATTCACTATCAACAAGACGGCATTGTATGGCAAACAGCGAAACAATCGACATTTTAGGGGCAAAGTTAATATGATTATAAAAGATGGACTTCTTATTGAAAAAACGCTGTAGGAAAGCACACTGGCAGCTTTATCAAATATTTTAACTTTCAACTTCAACACAACGTTTATTTAATTCAAATCAATCGCTAATAATCAACCTTCAATTAGATAACATAACACATCGCCGCTGCAAGCAACGTCAAGGACTTGTGGTAAAAGGTAAATCTGCTTTAGTACATTCCAGGGTTCGTGGGTCAAAACTACACCCTTATTTAAGACAAAATAATTATAAAGATATTTTTTGAAATCAATGTTTTATATTAGTAAATAGTCTAACATAAAAAATTCAAGTTTAAGCGTTTTGCTTAATCCAAGATGCGAGTGCTACAACGTTGGTGAAAACGGCTGGTTTGCTTTTGCTGCCACAACCACCCCAGGAAACTAAACCAACCAGTTTGTTGCTAACCACGACTGGACTTCCATTACGGCCAACGCAAGATTTGTTGTCACTAGCATAACCGCACAGCATGGAAGCGAAAACTTCATCTTCACTCCATGAATAGTCGCCAGACGCACAATCACTTGTGCCTACGATGCTTACTGGAAGATTGGCATTTACGCTTGATACAACACCACTTGCGCCAGTGTTTGGTGCTTGGCTAGCCAGTGATATGTATTTTCCTTCTACAGATTGGGCCAACTTCAGAACAGCTACATCATTTTCCATTGTTACGAAATCGAAGCTGGAATCAAAAGTGTGCGATTTAATTTTGACGATTTGACCCTCGACTCCAACCACCAATTGGTCGGGATCGTAGAAAGCCAAACAAGTTGCTGCAGTCACAACTGTATTCTTATTGATCAAAGCACCATTGCAGATAACGTTTCCATCGGAGCCTTGTACAGTAACCACATATGACTTTGCGGTTACAGTAGCAGCCTGTGCGGATGCGACGAGTACTGCAAATGCGAGCAAAACACTGGAAATATATTGCGAGAACATTTTGTTGTATTTTTCAAAATACGTATTTTTTTATCTCAGTTGTGATTTGTGTGTTGCGAAACTGTCAACTGTGCCTTTATCGGGTTGATGTGTTCTCTTATATACCTTCATAACGACTGGCTAGTGTTATTTAACAGTTATACAACAAAGTAATTTAGTTAGATAAATATTTATTGACAAAACAGTGATGTTTTCAAATGCTACGTTTCTTTTCAAATTGTGCAAATTGTGCAAACTATGGATCATATTTATTCAGTTTTCAAATCCGACGGTATGTAAATATGCCAATAATGAGAAGTATAGCAAAAGTAACGGCATTTATGTACAATAATACTTTCCATGGTACATTAAATATTTATTTAATTTTATTTATTTGCCTGAAGAATTGAGCTCCCAAGCATGTCAAATGATCAAAAATATTTCCTAGCAGGTTTTATTATTTGGTACCAACACAGAAACCAGGTACATCCAAGTTCTTGAAACTGTTCAAATTGTTTTTTCTGAGTTTTTTGTGTCCAATAGCAGTAACGTTACCCCATTTGATGATGACTATTTAACAAAATATTTTTTCCCCTCAAACATTAAGCTTGAATATTCTTAGGGTTGATTGCCAGGAAAGTTTTGTTATGTGTGTTGGCAGGGAGTCATCCTTTCTGCTGACTGTTGTGAGGCCAAAACCTATACTCGGACCTCTACTGTCAGAAGTGTGACCGTCTAGAGGAAGCAATTTTCAAAAGCGCCCAGCTTTTTTCAATGGAGGAGTATTGTGTTTCACCAGGAGAACCACAAACCACAAATATCGATAGTGACTCTACCGAAGCTCAGAGAGCTTATGTGGGAGATTCTTAGCATGAACCTTACAGTGCGGACCTTGCATAAAGTGACTGTTAACTGTTTCTATATATGGCGAATATTTTTTGAAAATTAATTGTCTGGTTCTTTGCTGACAGTGACAATGGTTTCTATGATATAGGCATACTGGTATTGCCATCAAAATGAGCAAACGATCTATGTTAATTAGTCGGATAAATCTAACTATGGTAACTTTAGCATTCAATTTAAAGGAAAAATACTATATTACTTCTTATTACACCTACATACATATATATGAATTTCCGTAGCAAAACTCTCAAGTACAACAGTCGTAATGTTGCAGTTAAGCATAATATTATTGCATATGATCAAGTTGCAAAGTTTATTGTTTTATAATAACAATATCAATTGATAAAAGATACTCATGCTTATGTAAGCTTAAATATGCTTCTCAAAAGTTTATTTAATGCAAATAAATTTCCTCGGAATACATAATCCATTTTAACTTAATTTTTCAGTAGATATATATTATATATATATTATTTATGTATATAAAAATTCGAGTATAACCACACAAGGGTAGTTTATGAATTATCATATTAATAAAACTAAAATAATAATAACAACATTAATGTTTAAGCGAAAACTCCATCGAGATATCCTTGTGCTCTTCAGTATAGTTTGAAATAATATAAGGTTTCCAACATATTTTTTTCTTCTTCAAATATTTTCTAGAAAAAGCTCAATGCAAGCCCACATGTTTATTATTTTTCGATTTAATTAATCAAATGTTGAAGAGCTGCTGAGGAGAACTTATTTGTCAGTTTATAGAAAAAAAAAGAAAGAAATCTTGTATTCATACCTTTTATGAACATCATTAAAATTCGATTATTATGAGTTTTAGGGGCACTATCAATTTAAATTTATGTGTGGAAAGTATCAAAAGCTCAATACCTGAACGAATCGTTTATATGGTAGGTTTACGATATAGTCCAATGATTTCGATGATTTTTGGTGTTCGAGTATATATTTGTTAATTTGAAGATTATTTTTGAAGATTAAGGAATATCATCACTCCATCTGAGAAATTTTCGCTTGTCAACCAATAGTTACCTTCGTGCCTGAACAGAATTGTCTTGTGAAAACCGGAAACGGAGGCCATCTCGCTTTGACCCCATTCACCGAATGTGCTACTGGCTTGATTGTTATTAGGCTTCAACGAATTGAATTCCGTAACCACTATAACCAAGATCGTTCCGCAAAAACTTTCATAAAGCGGTTGGGCACAGCTTTAATCTTTGCGCACGATGGTGGTTGGGCTCATTCAGGTCTTCTTAATTAATAAATTCAAAGTTCCATAAATTACTCATTTTAATAAAATATTTATGAAAATACTTAAAGCCGAAAACAATATGCTATATAAATAAACGGATTCATATACATATATATATATATAAAACAGGTAAAAAGAGATATTTTACAAGTTGACAAGCATAACGTTTTCTGAGTAGTGTTCAGTGAAAACTCTGTAAAATTCTTTCTTTGGGAGAGTAAATTGTCAGTTTCGTTACTGGTCTATTCTTACCGATATTTCTCGCCAAACAGTACCGTTATCTTCCGTATTAATTTTACAAGCATTTATTTACTTATTTTTGGATATTTTTCTTTCTTCTACATATATTTTCCAGTATTTTTGTTTTATTTTCTTTTTTTTTTTTTTAAAAAAAAGCTTTCGTAAGCAGCAAAGTGAAATTTGTTGTTTGTATATTTGTGCAAATTTTTCTGCATTTAGTTGCAGTCTGTCATGTGGCATTTATTGCAATGACACATGGTTGAGTGCGCATTACCTACTGTCAATGTATTTGTACACACACGTACAAAGCGTGCACTGTTTGTATGAATTTATATATGTGTACATGCATTAATTTCGAAATATACAATATACACATACATACATATATTTTCCTTATGCTTTGATATGCAACATTTGAGTAATCTTTGCTGAATATACAGTTACTTAAGGTTAATGATGTCAAATTTGTTGTCTGTTGCATGTTGGAAGTGCAACCAAGCGGAATACCCACAGCCGAAATATATGTATGTACGATATTTTTTACTTGTTATTTATAAAACTCCTTTTTTTAACTTACGTAATATAATTTTTCTGCGAACGCAATGGAATTGCGTGCCAGCAGGCCAGGGTTCGAGTCCTGTCTCGACAAGTATACAAAATTAATTTTTGTAGCTGCGGTCGCCACTTGACAGAGAATGTCAAGCCCTCTGGCTGTATTTCTCACATGAAATTAAAGACGGTGCCTGGCCGAAAATCGGTTCAGCGGCTAAAAAGCACCATACAGAAATGTATAGTTCTTCAACAAAAAATGTTGAATAATTTGTAGTAAATCAAAGAGAAATTGTGTTGCATATGAATTGATACACAAAGACATTCTTCGGAGAGTTGGCTTTCAAAGGGTAGAAATAAAAAGGTAGACAAACTGAAAGCTAACATTTGTGATGCAAACCATTTGTGAAGCATGATTGCATATATTGGTACCATCACTTCCCGATTTCATAATAGATGGTTTTCAAAGTGAAGGAGTTATGACTGCCTTCAAGACTATTAACTATTGCCACTTTAAACAAACATCAAAATAAATATTCTTTTGTATAGGAAATATGTTAATAAACTTATTCTGATGAGGCGTTTGAGATAGATGCTATTTTTCTCCAGCTGACCTTTGTAATGAAGGTCGTTGTCGCACAAGCTACCGAACATGATGATGGTTTGCGTGGTCTATGAGCTATCTTATGTATTGTGCAGATCGCACTCAGATTCAAGTCGAAGGGCATGCATACGTGAGCCCGTATTCTACAATCTTCTTTTTAGTTTTCAGCCTTTATACCCAAATAGCTCAATCAAAAGATTATTATGGCATCAACTTTCACCCTTTGGTGAATCTTCAAACGGGCATTTGCTCTACAATAATAAGCCCACAAATTGCCATTCTTCTGCCCAGGCAATGAATGTAAGCCGCATAACTTACTAATTTGTTGCGCCACGAGAGACACGATGAGTATGATATCTCCGGATCCAATTAAATAGGCTGAATAATTGTTCTCTCCAAAAACTCAATATACTCTGAATGACAGTAACCAAATCTCCTCGCCCGTACCTATCTATAAAAAGGCTCCGATCTTGAGAAAATCTATGTGCCGCCTTCTTCTGTAGCGGAAATTTCGAGCATTCGTCATGGTCGCTATTTTGTCAAGTTTTTCATATTCTTGTACTTCAGCTTTTACCTCTTTCTGTCTGAAAATATTGTACATCTCGCTTCATCCTTCAACTCTGTCTGCTTTTCTGATTACGTTGGAATATATCTCGCTTAACACTGGTGCAGGGCATTCCCTATTTTACCAACTCCTCTATCGTAGAGACCAAAATCGCTCAAATTGATTTCAGCTCTTTCAATTCGTTAAAAAAACAACTGGCTTGGATTTTAATTTTTCAACTAGTGTGAAAAAAAGTAACTGATAAAAACTGGCAGCCGCGTTGGCAGAGCGGTTAGCATTACGTACTGCCATTCCGAAGGTAAAAATTACAAACAATTAATTTAAATAAATAATTAAGTTAAATTCGCTTCTTGGCAAGAAAAGTCAACCCCTCCGAGTGTATTCCTCACGTGATATAATTGCTCCTCATAAAAAACCATCAGCCATTCTTGGGTGGCTTAGAATAAACTGGAGGCAACTCCCACACGAGAATTTCAATATACATTGAACAGCTTTATTAATATGTTGAATTTTATTCGTATGTAAATATATATATGACAATTTAGCTTGCTGCAGCTTCAACTCATATAAATACATAAATAAATACATATGTATGTATATTGTATATGAACTTGCAAGATTGAGTGGCATATCTAAGACTTGAGATCAACAGCATGCATACACGTATACAGAAAACAGCATACATCTGTATATCTGAGTACATATCCTCTCACATACACATATGCATTTAAAACTCTAGTGCATTAACATGCAAAGTGTCTTGAAGCACATAAATTACATGTAACATTTTAACAAATTATACTTGCAAAGTTGCCACTACTCTACACTAGACTACAGTGTGAGACGCACAACAAACTCAAAAGGACTTTGTAAAGGATATCGCAATAGCTGTGCTACACAACGAAAATGTCATCTAGGTGGATGAGGATAGTGAGGAGCGATGCCAGAGTGGGGGAAAACTTAAAAAGACTATGACAGAAT